CGGGAGCGCCGCTGCGCTCCCAAGTGCCGCACTCTACCGAGTGCGCCACCAGGCTGGCCCGAAAAATGTGCTTTTAAGAGATGAATTTATAAACTTTTGGCCCACAAACATTTTGCTTGAAAATCAGTAATATAAAAAACTATACTCACAGCCAATAGCCAGGTAACGGAAAAAGAGCCACCCGCTGATCAGCGGTTCCTTGGGGTTCCGGGGTGGTTTATTCATGATGTCCAGGTCTGGAGGGTTGAATCCCAGTGCGGTGGCAGGCAGGCCATCTGTCACCAGATTGACCCAGAGCAGCTGGACAGGAATTAAAGCCTCAGGAAATCCAAGGGCTGCTGTCAGGAAGATACTGTTTCCACCCAAGGAGAGAACAGAAAGACGCCAAATGATTTCTTGCCACTATTTAAATAGAATCATCACCCCCTCCTCTATAAAAACCAATGGAAAGCAAAAACGATTACATGACATAACTTCAGGCAATCATAAAACATTTATTATACCCAATCTTGAATTAAAGTTAAATTTCAGAGAGCCAAGAATTTTATGTGACTTTATGTGATTAATTTAAGTTCATTTCTACGTTAAAGAGGATTCTTTGCACACTGGGGCAGCCACAGACAACCCTCCTAAGGGCCAGAAGCACCTTCACAAGGGATCCCTGGGTCTTGCCCACCCTATCCTCCCAACTCAGGAATAAAGACCAAAGTTGCTGCTGTATGAAGAACAAATTGGGAAATACGATCATCACAACCCACACTTTTATTTTTATTTTTTGTCTTTTTGTGAGATCGGCTGCACCGCACTCAGCCAGTGAGCACACTGGCCATCCCTATATAGGATCCGAACCCGCCGCGGGAGCGCTGCTGTGCTCCTAGCGCCGCACTCTCCCGAGTGCGCCACGGGCTCGGCCCACAACCCACACTTTTAGATAAAAGACTATAAGTGGTAGCATCCTAGAAACCTACCAGACAACTTCCCCCACGTTAGACGAGATGAGGTAACGGATGAATTGCTTCATGTTGTTGTATATTGCCCGCCCCTCCTCAACAGCAGCCACAATGGTGGAGAAGTTGTCATCTGCCAGCACCATCTCAGAGGCGGTTTTAGCCACCGCAGTGCCAGAGCCCATGGCAATGCCAATCTCAGCTTTCTTCAAAGCAGGAGCATCATTCACACCATCGCCAGTCTGAAAGGGAAAGTGATGCTTGGTTCTCAGACACCTGTCGCATAGAACTCACATCCCTGAGCAAAGGCTCTCACTAATTGGTAAGCAGAGGAAAATGAATAAAGCCAGGGTCTAGTTATAGTAGGATTTTTGTCTTAAGTTGGTGTAACAAAACACACTTCACCTGGGAAATGTAAAATTGCCAAATAAAAGACTTTTAGATGAAAATGGAACAAAGTGGACTTCAAATCTATCTGTATTATATTTTACCAAAAACAAAAACACAACCTCCATGGCAGTTAAGATGAAGTACTTGTATCCACACGCATAAATCTCAAGTAGAAAAGGTGCAGAATACAAAAATATCTAAATTATAATATGCCATGTATAAAGGAGCTCAAAACATGCAAAAATACCAAATACTGTCTACAGAGACAAAAATATTATTCCCATGTATGTTTATACTTTTTACTAAATGGTGGTTACTTCTGAGAGAGGGGGGAGGGAGAGAAGAAGGGGGAAAGTGGGATAGACATCTATAATATTTGGTTTGAAAAACAAATTAAAAAAAAAATTTACAGACAAACTGAATATAACACAGGCTAATATACTGGGTGAAAATCAGATAAGTGTAAGAATACACTTCATCTTGGGATAGACATCTATAATATTTGGTTTGAAAAACAAATTAAAAAAAAAATTTACAGACAAACCGAATATAACACAGGCTAATATACTGGGTGAAAATCAGATAAGTGTAAGAATACACTTCATCTAATTTAAAGGGGGGTTATCCAAACACTGGGTAATAGACGACTGATTGATTACATCCTGAACTAATTTTTAGAAAACTTAAGATACAAACATGTCTTAATCTAGAATCTAGACAAGGACTAGATATCACCAATAGTTCCTCTGTCACTGATTTTGGAAGGCCTTTCTGAGACTTAAACTACTCTAGGATCTACTCTGCAAGTAGCATACAACACGCCAACTACGAATCAACAGAATTCTAGAGAAACAGCCCAGATTGGGGCTGGCTGGTTAGGTCAATTGGTTAAAACACAGCCGAATAACACCAAGGTCATAGGATCAGATCCCCATACAGACCAGCTGCAAAAAGAAAAAAAAAAAAAGAAGAAAAGTCCAGATCAAGACAAAAGAAAATCCAACTTAAGGAGCTAATACTAAAAACTTAATGATCAAAATTAGAATTTACTGTTTGTGTAGTCTGAATCACCTGTACATGTCCAAATGTACTCACCATAGCTGTAATCTCATCAAAAGACTGAAGGAATTCTACAATTTTGGACTTGTGGGAAGGTTCGACCCGAGCAAAACAGCGGGCATTCAAGCAGGCATCCCTCTGGGCTGAGGGGCTGAGTTCATCAAACTCCCGACCTGTAAAAGCCTTTGACGTCACATCCTCGTCCTGCCCGAAGATGCCAATGCGGCGACAGATGGCCACAGCGGTGCCCTTGTTGTCCCCTGTGATCATGATGACCCGGATGCCTGCTTGCCGGCACAGCTTCACAGAGGAGGCCACTTCAATTCTTGGGGGATCCAGCATGCCCACGCAGCCAACAAAAGTCAGATTGGTCTAAAGTAAGAGAATCACTTAAAACAGGAAATTCTGTTTTTTCCCCTAGTTTGAAAAATGGCCACTTCTACAGCAAGAGCAAAAGTTCCACCCTTTTTTTCATGAGGGAAAAAAAAAATACCACTCCACCCTTGTTACCAAATCATTCCTTAACCCTCATACCAATAATATTCTGAAATGGGGAAAAAATATACTAAGGAATTTTGATATTGGCCACTTAATTGGCCCATAGTACTGAAGCTGTTCCATTTGTTCAAAGCTTTAGGATGTCACATCCCTGACGTGAGGGAATTCTACTTTGAGTATAAAAGTGGAAGGAATCGCTCAACTTGGATATCTTCACCTTCAATAATCAAAAATTATTTTAAAAATATCCCTGATTAAAATTTATGTGAGTTGCAAAATAGGTTTTACAAGCTTATTTAAGCTCTTCTTGATTATTCTACCCTGTAAGTAATAGACTTTTATTATACTGTTAATTGTCCACATTTGAAGGAGCAACCTAAATTATAAAGGTGACGCATTTATCCTGCAGAAAAACAAATAACCACACCTCTTTCTTGGCAAAAATAAGAACCATTTGACCTTTTACTTGAAAGAACACTGTTTAAACACAATGAACATGCAGGGTGTGGATGAAGAAACTTTTCATCAGCTAACCTCATATTTAACAAAGTTGGCGGAGTCCTCGAGGTGCATTTCTTCTCTTCTCAGTGGGTTGTCGTGAGTGGCCAGGGCCAGACATCGCAGTGTGTCGCTGCCACTACCCCATTCCCGAATAACAGACATGATCTTCTGTTTGACTCCAGGGCTCATAGGAACCTTAGTACTTCCAACTCGAATGTGGGTGCACCTGTCAATGACACCTTCAGGAGCACCCTGGAAACATCACAGATTTACATCAATAATTTTATTGGCTTGCTGGGATCTTAATCCTGGTAAGAACATCTCAGTTGAAATTTGTTGTACTTGCCTTCACAAACATCTTGCTCATTGATGTCCGGCTTGGTTTATTTGGTGTACAATAAACCGACATTGACTTTCTATCACGTGAAAACTCTAGAGTAAATTCCTTTTTCATCAGCTGTTTAATTACCTATGATGATAACAAATACGAAATACTACTGGATGACAATTCTGTACATTTTTCACTTGTTCAACAAATATTCACTAAGCACCTATTAGATAAAGACACTGGGGACATAGCAATAAACAAAACAGGTAAGTTCTTGTCCTCATACTTGTCCCCTAGTTTGGGAGAGAGACTAGGATGTAAAAGTCAGAGTAAGTGCTATGGAGAAAAAAAATAAGGTAAGGAAGGGGGACCAAAAGTTTATGTGCAGATTGCAATGTTACATAAAATGGCCAAGAAGGTGGCAACACTTGAGTAAAAGCCTGAAGGGTGTGAAGTGTAAGCCAGGTGGACTGTGGTGAAGACCCACCAGGCAGAGAACAGAAGGGCAGCCTGGCAAGTCCTGTTGAAGGAGCCTCCAAAAGGCCAATGTGGCTGAAACAGATGTTGCAGGAGAGAAAGATGAGAGAGGTAATGGCAGGGGGTGGTAGAGGTAGGTCATAGGATCTCAAAAGTCACTGTGGGGCATTTGGCTTTTATATCAAGTGAACTGGGAAGACAGTGGAGGGTTCTGAGCTCTGACTCTTGTGTTAACAATTGGCTGAAGGGAGACAAAGAACATCATTTAATATAATAATGGTGACGTGGACCAGGGTGATGGCACTGGAGGTAGGTCAGTCCAGAGCAGAGCCATCCACCAGGACCCTGCAATGATGGCAATGCTCTACTTGTGCCATTTATATAGCTCTCACACATGGCTGCTATGGACTTAAAATATGGCCAGGGCACCTAAGGAGCTATCTGTGAGTATTCTAAACAGCTTTAGGTAGCTAGTGGCTACTGTATTACACATCAGCACGCTGATAGTACTTAAAGGTATAAAACCAGAAAAGATCATGGGAGTAAGCATGGAGAGAAATGGCTGAAGACTAGGCATGGGGCCACCACCTCCTGGTTTAAGGTAAAAGATCCAGCCAAGGAGCCTGGGGAGGAGTGGCAGGTGTGTGTTTGAAGAGCAGAGGGTGGGGGAAGGGTGGAGAACAAGGCAAGTTAAGGGGTGTTTCAAGGAGGGAGTGAGTAACAGTATCAATTGACAGGTCAGGTAAAATGAGGGCTGAGAACTAACCTTCAGCTTTAGACTCTCACCATACCTCTTCCTTTTTCTCACCTTACTGCACAGACTAGAACTGCCAGCACGACACTAAGTATAAATGCTGAGTGGAAATTGTCGCTAGTAAGCATGATGTAATAAGCAAAGACCTTGGGTAAACACACTTTCAGCTTGAAGACCTGCCCTTCTATTCCTAGTTTGGTGGTGTGACATGAAATCTTATCACATGCTTTGTCTGCATCTATTAAGACAATCTTCTGGTTTTGCTTCTTTAGCTAATGTGGTCAATTACACTGATTTCCCCCCAACTCACACAGCTAATAAGTGGAAACATACCAAAAAACCTCAGCATCCAATGTAGGAAGGTATGAGGATTGAAGTCTGTTGACCTGGCTAGACTGGGCTAGTTGTACTACAGCCATCCTGTTAGCTACTAAGCTGCCTCAGGCCATAAAGGAACAAGGAGTATGAGCACTATGCTGAATTTTGCATCATGTAAATCATGTATTTGTGTTCATTTTCAATTAAGCATTTGTACCACTGGCTCTAGGAAGACTAAAGGAACATGATTCAGAGTAAGGTGTGGACATACACAAGGGAGACATTCTGGGAGGGAGAGAAGAACAAAGCCATTTCTTCCAGTATTAGGATGGTCAAGAGTTGTCATCCTAGTTAAATAGGCCACTAGGGCTAAAAAGCAAGGCCTTGCTCTCTTTGCTTTTGAAGTATGACACTTCCCTGTTCTCTGAGGCAGGGAGCAGAGGCAAGGAGTCTGCATTTGGAAATTTCCAGTGAATGAGACCACGAGAGTCATTTCTGACCACTCTGCCAAGCTGATGTGAAAGAGGGGCGGCAAAGGAGCCATGGAGCAAGATGCTTCACCTGGCAGACAAAAGAACAGACAGTCCTGCCCTTATTTGTGCTGGTCACTAGTTAATGCACCCCTTTTAATCTCCACAATGTTACTTATTTCTCTCCACTGAGTAGGTGAAGTCACAGGTCTAGAATCAAATCAGTCTGTGAAGCTGAGTTTTCAGGTTACCTCATATATTTAGTTACACCAACTAATAAAGATGTCACAGACAATGTAGTTTCACAAGGATCTACACCTCCTTGCTTATTGGCAATCAGTAAGTGGTCTAAAACTGAGGCAAGGGACCTGGACAGTCCCTGTTTCAGGGAAGCCATATATAAATAGGAACAGGATGCCAAAGGAGCTGCCCAAGGCCTTCATGGCTATGAGACTACTTGTGAATCGTGTATGAGTCTACTGAGAAAGAGTCTATACTCCAGCTGAGACATCCTCAATTCTGGTGTTTTGTTTCCTCAGGACATTATACAAGAGGCAAAATAATGTAAAGAAAGTGTGCTAGAGTGGAAATCCAGTTCTGCCTCACATTTTTGAAACCACACGAGACAGTCATGGGAGGCCTCAGTATCCCTACCTGCAAGCATCAGACTGGACAGGATGGTCTTGAACACAGCCTGAGATTGTGTGTGGTTACTAAAATGCTTGAGTATCTGAGGTCCTTAAGAAAACAGGTGCATTCTCTCCCCAACTGGGGCTGCACTTGCTCAGTGTGGTGCTACCCCAGTCCCCAGTGACACACTGCTTCCTGCTTTGTCCTGGCTATCCAGGGAGGAATAAAAGAAATGGTTTGTGGCATGCAAAAGCATAAATCTAGTGGCAACTGATCATTTAGTAGAGATGCCTTTACACAGCTTTGTACAACAAGTAGAAAATGCTATGTTTTTACCTCTCTCCACCCTTAAATCTGTAATTTTGGTACACAGGTAACTGTCCTCTCCCTTACCATTTCTCCTCATTCTACCAGGAAACCCAGACTAAAGAACAAAGAAGTCCTACAAAGAGACCTCAAGTGCCAATCAGCAGCCATTTGGTATAGATAGGTGGGTCTGACACTAAAAAGAGGTACGTCCAGCAGAACCCAATTCCATAGGAATCCAAGTTCCATGGCTGGGAGGCCGTAGGTATTGAGGACAAGCTCTCTGTTGGCAACTGGACTGGAGGACTCACTGGTGGATCTCACGGCTATGCATCTAGACTGCAGGTAGGTGGTATTCACATTGGTGCAGGGGTCTAGGGCTGTTAACAGCTGTTGCCTGACAAGAACCCAGCCTGCCTTCTACACAGAGAAGCAGCAGCTACAGCACAGCCTGAGGTTGGCTGTTTCCACGATAGTTGCTGGTGGCGGCAGGAGCCAGACACAGCCTGCCTTATATCCTTAAGTTTCTTCTGCTCCTGCTTACCTGCTTTGAAGACTGCATACTCCTTTCTCCAATGTCTTTTCTAGCTTTTGCATTTACCAGCCCTGAGCTTCCTCTGCTTGCTGCCTAGCCTCATGACACTTCTCTACCACCTGCACTTGGCGCTCTCACTCTTGACTGCCAGGCACAGTCTATGTGTATTCTAACATCTTGTCTGCACACTGCTTACATGGCTTCTCATCTAAGCAGTCACCCACCACTTTGGCCAGGATAGGAGACAGGGGGTTACCCTTAAGGTCCAGTCACTTCAGGTTCTTGAGCTGAGCAAAGTGACATGGAGGGTGACCAGTATACTGTTGAGGAGATCCAGGTGCCGAAGGTTGACCAGATAGCCAAAGAACCAGTCTGCCAGCAACTGTTGCAGATTGTTTTTACTCAGGTCTATCCACACGGTGCTTGTGAGGCCACAGAAATCTAAGGATAGTTTTGCAGGACAGATCTAGCATGGGGGACAACAGCAGCTCCTCAATAAGGACTTCACTGAGGTCACTGAGTCTCAGGTCCAGCTCACTGTGGAGGTTCCCCACCCTTGCTACTGACCTTGGTCATAGTGATGCTGGCTGAGAGAACCCTGACTTGAAGGTTGTGACAGGCAGCAGTAGTGGGCCGAGGCCACTCATCTGGTTCAGTGGACTCAAGGACAATGCCTGTGCCCTCCACCACTGCCACCATTGACCTCTGATATCAGGGTTATGCTGGCCTTGTCAAACAAGTTGAGAAGTGTTTCATATTTTTAAAACTGGTATTTCTTCCTTAAATGTTCTGCAGAACTGGGCCTGAAGAATTTTTGTAGGGGCAGATTTTAAATTACAGATTCAATTTCTTTAACACATATAGGATAATTACAATTTTGTGTCACTTTAGAAAGTTGTTACTAAAGGGATTTGTTCACTTTTTCTAAGTTGCCAAATTTACTGGTAAAAGTTGTTTATAATTGGTTTCTGATCTTGTTATCAATTCCTTCTTTGTCTAGATGGAAGCTTATATCACTGATTTTTAACCTTTCTTTTCTAATATGTGTACTTAAAGCTAAATTTCCCTGGAATGATACTTTGGTATCATATGGTGTTTCCAATATTTAGCTCAAAATATTTTCTAATTCCTAGCATCATTTTTCTTTTTTGGCCCACGGATTATTTAAAATATTAGCTTCCAAATATTTGGGGAATCTGCTAGTTCTTTTTTGTTATTAACTTCTAGTTTAATTCTATTGTGGTCAGCAACATAGTCTGTATGATTTCAATCTTTTTAATTTGGTAAATATTGCTTCATGAACCAGCAATAGTCTATTCTGGTGAATGTTTCTTATGCATTTGAAAAGCATAGGAAGTAGCACAATAAAAATACAGATTGAGTATATTTACTGTGTTTTTCTGATTTTTTTTTTTTTTTTAAAAGATGATCAGTAAGGGGATCTTAACCCTTGACTTGGTGTTGTCAGCACCACGCTCTCCCAAGTGAGCCAACCAGCCATCCCTATATAGGGATCCAAACCCACGGCCTTGGTATTATCAGAGCCACACTCTCCCAAGGAAGCCACAGGCTGGCCCTTTCTACTGATTTTTAAATCTGCTTATTTGATTGATTACTGAGATAAGTGTGTCACAGTCTGCAACTCTAATTGTGGAATTATTATTCCTTTTATTTCTGCCAATTTTTATTTTGTGTACTTTATATGTGCTATCAGGTATGTATGCAAATGATTTGACCATTAGATTTAGCAAGAGGTTGTAGGTGACTTTGATAAGAGGTTTAGATAGACTGGTAGAAGAGCTAAGAGTTGGACTGGGGTGGATTCAAGAAAATAGGGAAATGGCACAAAACATAAAAACATCTCTTTCAAGAAGTTTTACTATACAGGAAAAGAAAGAAGTTGGGGTGCTGAAGGAAAAATAAGGCCAAAAGAAAGTTTTAAGATAAAAATATACTACTATTTTCCCTGTGCCGATGAAGATCCAGTAGAGATGGAAATTGACTAATGCAGGAGAGAGATGTTGGGAGCAGTTGTTTTTGCTAGGAGCAATGATAGTCCATTCACAGCACCATGCGAAGGCAGCCCTTATGGGCACAAATGGTTGCTCGTGGAAGCTATCTATTGATTGCTTTTCTTGGTCAAATAGATAGTAAGATCATTTTACCTGAGAGTAAATATGGGGGAGGAGATATTGCAAGTTTGAGGCGATAAAGTATAATTAATTATCTAAGAGAGTAGGGAAGTGAACAGACTATGCATTTATAGTATGACTGACAGGCAGCATGAACAACACACGAAGCTCAAATACTGACCGAGTTGCAGGCATTTGCACGTTCTATTTTAGAAAGACCCTTCAATTCAGTATCAAATACATTCATCTTCTCTACCAGACAGGTTAGAGCGGTCTCTGTAGCTTCTCCAACTTTTTCGTACACACCCTTTGCCTGTATTGGTTAAAGGCATAGAAAGTGGAAAAAGAGAAAAGAGGTAAACAGGTAAATTTCTCTTTTTTTCTCCATGGAAGAACAACCTGTCCTCCGTTGCATCATTATTCTATGGGCCATTTTTATCCTACTCTTGAGCAGATGACCCAGATAATTAATTAAAAACACACTCAAGGGCCGGCCCGGTGGCGCACTGCTACAGTGCGCTGATTGGGAAGTGCGGTGGCGCTCCCACCGAGGGTTCGGATCCCACAGACCGGCCGCTCACTGGCTGAGCGAGGTGTGGGCGCAACACCGAGGGTTGCGATCCGTTGCCAGTCACAAAAAAAGACAAAAAGAAAAAAAAAAAACCACTCAAAGTATGGGTGTGTATATTACCTTATTCTAATAAGTAGGTTTCTCATTTTCCTTAAATATAAGAAGACACTGATCACAGTATTAATTCAAAGATAGCTTTCAAACAGTATTTATAATTCCATGTCATTGCTTATCATTCTGAAGTTTTCTGTCTCTGACAGGGACTGTCTTGCCTTTGAGTGAAAACCAAAGGATTTACCCTCACTATTTAATTAAAAAAAAGGAAAAAACAGGTTTTCTGTTGGTTAAATTTTATATTATTTTATCACCATCATCATCAGAACAACCCTCTAAGCCACGGCTTGTCCTCAAGGATATAACGCTATCCATCTTAAAAAGCAAGATAAATACCGTAATTTTTTCAGGAAAACGTGTTCTATTCTGGGTTTTATTCATTTATAGTAGCCATGCTATCAACAAATGAGAACATCATGTATACTACAACTCTAAGTTAAGTAAATGCAGTGCTCAGTCAAAGAGGATATATATGAAAGGCTCTCA